TTCGCATGTCCGGAAGAGGCACACAGTTACCAACCAAATGCTATTGCAAAATTAGACAAAGTACATCAATCGGATGGATACAAGATTGCTTCCTACTTTTCTGTTGAGAGTATTAAAGTGTTAAGCGGACATTTGTAGACCCGGTCTGCGAAAGAAAGTGTCTTGAGAAAATGTGATATTTGCCAAATGTCAGGACATTGGAAGAAGAAAACTGGGCCCAAAAGTAGAACTGAGCCACCATGTCGCCTTGGTTGATTTCAAGACGATCCTCAGTCGTGACCACCTCAAAACCTGCCAGGAACAAGTGTAGACACCAACCATCACGAAATGCATACAAAGATTAGGTTGATTTTGATAAATCTCTTGAGAAAGCATTGTCTTGGCAACCCTCGATTCATATGAAGTGGTGTCTGGCGAAGAGATGTGAAAGTGGATCTCACCCCAAAATGCTGGCCAATTGGCGTTGTTCTGCATTCGTTCGGCTCTCTCCTGACCTTCGGATTGACACAGTCTACGAGCCATCTTTCCTCGTTTCGGGCGAAGACGGGCTGAGCATTCGTCCATTATGCCATTTGACAGCAATCTTCAGAGCTGGAACGCAATCTCACAACAGCTTCAAGTCATCGCAAAGTCCAAATGACTGTCACTCTTCGTAAGGCTTAGGCCAGAATCCGTTCCAGTTCTGATCATGTCCGTGACGTGGCATAACCATCGAAAGCTTGACCCGTTTTTCACTTGAAACAAGAGAGGATATCTCGTCTACTGCATCAATCTGAAGGTGGTAGCGAAGCCAAACACAATGAATCTGTCGTCGTCTCGAAGGGAAATGGACCAATAAAATCTCTCCATTAGACACATCTTCATGCAAAAGTCTATTCATTTCAACAGTATCAAGAAACAATCGACATGGCCAGTTACGCTTTTGGCGTGGAAAATGGATGAGGAGTAAAATTCTGCAACGAAATGCCTATCGGTTGAGCTTTATTTAAACAACTGGATTGTGATGCACTCGAGATGACTGCATTTCGTCTAATCTCGCCGCCAAAAACTGCTATTTCTCGAGCCGGTATTTGGGGTTTCAGCTTCACCTGAGCCTCGTCAACAGCTCCAGGAGACTTCAGAACTGGCCGGCGTCAATTGCAGCACCTCAACTGGACACTCAAGAGCTGCGCGCCGCTTGGAAGCCAATTAATTTGGAGGTTCAAGAATGCGAATCGGAAACCTTCTCTCGACACACACACACACACATTTCACTTGGGCACCTCCTGCGGGAGGGGCAAACTGCAGCAAGATTGGGCAATTGGGACCATCCAGTGGGTTATCTCTGGAGCACTGAGTGGTGTGGTACCACATTCATTGCAATCTCCATTTCCGAGCGGCCTGTTCATACTCTTACATGAGAGTTATTCCAAATGTTGATGCAAGACTAGTTGCGAAGCCATAGTCCAAGCGGGTCCAGACTGTACCTTTGCGAGTCCATAAGTTTTGCTTTAGTCAATTGAAATAGTGTGAGTATGTCAGAACCCAAAAGGTGCATTAGGCAGCAGACAGGTTAGCAGATTTTCGATGTGGATAATTTCTACTCAAAAACTACTCAATACGAATATAAGTAACATGATCGGTTGCAATGGTGATGCCACTCTGCTTGTGGCATAGGCGGCCTGGTGATGTCTGCCGTTTGCGCGGTAAGGCTGAGTCAAAGTAAATGACATCTTGAGACATACCCATTTAAGTGTGTGTGTGTGTGTGTGTGTGTTGGTGGAAAGGAGGTTGCTGTTTGTATAATATGGAAAAGTGGAGATAGTACCAGGTGAAAGAGAGCCAATAGGCGAGGCATATGGTCCGCTCGCAGGTTGACAGGACGATTTGGACTAGGATATGTCCAATAATCTGAGGTGCCTTTGGGAGTTGAAGATGATGCGACGCTGACAGTTGAATTTGTCCACGATGGAATAACTGGCGGGCCTAGGCAAGTGGATGAGTCTCAGTTGGGTCTGTCGAAAGAAGAGCTTTCTTATTCGAGCCGACCTTTCACTACCATACCACCCGACTCTCATTGCCGCCAGACATGGCAGGACTCGAGTCCGAGTCTTGTGCTCCCAACGACCAGGCTGCTATTTCGTCCCACGTCAACGCAGCAGAAGCGACATGCAAGCCAAGCGGGGCTTCTTCGGACTTCCAGTTTCATGTGAGCCCAGTCTGGAGAGGCAAAACATGTATTTGCAGGCTTCCAAAACTAGTCGTAAATCTCGAACTGATATTGCAGTTCTGCAGACTGGCTCAAAAGTGACT